TCCAGCAACACGAACAGCGAAAATCAAGCAATCCCCGTCTATCCTCGTCCATTCCTCCTCCTTCACCTCCCCCTTCATCGTTTGATTACAAACTCACTTTGCAGAGGCCGCCTGCCACATCCGCGTTCTTGAAGCGAGGAATGCACGGCATGGCCTTTCCCTTTCTTTGAGTTTGAATATGTTTTTTTCCACTGCCGAATCCGTTAACTCCAAGCGCGATTGCCTATACCTCGTCACTGGCGTGACCATCACAAGTGTGCTTTTGTCCCAGCCTGCCACGACTGTTTCGCACGCCTTTGCCTCGTCGTTGCGTGCGTGGAACTCTTGGTCAGAGCCTGCTTGGTTGGCAGGAGTGTCTTCCCACCGATACATGCTTGTTGGCTGTTGCCCATACCAGGGGGAGGAGCCCTGCTCCTTCCGTGCCATGATTTTCCAGAACATGGTGTTCAAGACACAGTGTGTCCGATGTGCCCACAATGCCGCCATGCCGGTTCGCTACCCGTGTGCCCAATTTCCCAGTTCTGCTATTGCTGGCCCTGCCGAGGATTAGAACGCGATCCCCTCGCTCGAATTAGCTTTCATCCTCGGTGCGTCCCAGTGCCGACCCTTTTCTCAATGGCGAAGGCAGAGCACGAGGGAGGAGAGAGGAGGTCTCCGGAGGCCCCCCCAACGAGGGACTGTTAAAGGACGTAAGAACATGTCGAGGAAGATTGGGCAGTCCCCAGAACAAGAGAGGTCGTTCCAGAGCGATCCAGAATACTCTCAGAATGCGCCAGAACGCTCTGGAACGACCGCGGCGCCCGACATCTGCCAGACCGTTCGGCTCTCAGAGATCGCTGAATTTATCTCTGCCCATTTTTTTTTTTTTTTTTTTTTTTTTTTTTGTCTTATTCCCGCTGTCGTCTGGGCGAGCGGGGGGAGGTGCAAGATTGATGGTCACGTAACGCGACAACCGACCAGCCACGAGCCAGTCCTGATACAGAACACGGGGATCAGCATGCACGGTGACAATACCTGTGAGAATATACGGGGGAGATCTCCAGGCGGCTTGCCGCTTGGGCCCCACTGCCAGCCCAAACGGCAAGCATGAATCGGGCGTAGCCTCGTAAGCCATGTGGCGTGCCATGGGTTGCCTGATCCATGGGCTGCGCCATGGGATGCGTCATCAGATCGTTGCTCCATGGGCTGCGCTATCTACACTGCATGGGTGGTGCCATTTGTTGCGCGATCCATGGGTTGCGCGATCCATGGGTGGCGCCATACGTTGTGCCGTGGGTTGCGCCATGGGTTGCACGTTCCACGGGTTGCGCCATTGCGCAAGGGTGTGCGCCATCCACCTGATGCCATGGGTTGCGCCATACATGGGTTGCGCCAGGGGTCGCGCCGTATGCCACGCCATCCGTTGGTTGCTCCATAGTTTGCGCCCTCGACTGCCGATGATAAAACGGCCTGCCATCGGCTGCTGCATAGATTGCGCCCTCGTTGGCCGACAATTCATCAGCCTGCTATAGCTTGCGCCAGCACTTGCAAATTCGTCGACAGGGAATTGAACGGGCTGATATACATCGGTTGTGCTATAGGCTGTGCTTTCGTCGGCCGAGAATGCAACTGCCTGCTCTTAGTTGCGCCGTAGGCTACGCATTCGGCTGCCGATCTCATCTGGCCTACAATCGGTTGCGACATAGATGGCGCACTCGGCGGCCGAGAGTGAACCGCCCAGTCATCGGTTGCGACACTGGCTGCGCCATCGGCGACCGAGAATTGAATTGCCAGCTGTTGGTTGCGCCAGAGGTTGCGCTCTCGGGTAATGAGAGCGGCTTTCTCAAGGGTCCAACCAATCTAGCACAGTTTATTTCGCGAGTGACGAATCCGGGCCACGCTTCAAACAAAGGGGAATCTTGTAGCAGCGGCACAAGCTCGTCCGAGAAAATCGCGTCGACGCGTCGTCTCGAACGCACGATGGTGGGATGAGGTGCGAGGAGGAGGAGGAGGTGGAGGAGCGAGGATGATGATGATGATGATGATGATGATGATGATGATGATGATGATGATGATGATGATGATGATGATGATGATGATGATGATGATGATGATGCTGCTGCTGATGATGATGATGATGATGATGATGATGATGCTGATGATGATGATGATGATGATGATGAGAAACGAAGATGCGAAGGCATCGACGTGCCGCCCCGTCTTCTGTCGCCCGGCGCTGGATAGGTCCCCGGCGTGTTCAGCGAGTTCCACGTCCAGGGCGACCCCTCCAGCGTGTTCTACGCCGCCAAGGACCCGCTCCCCGCCCACGAGAAATGGCGGCGGGGTGTGCACGGCAGCTCTGCGCGAACGATCGACCGCCCGTGGCCCGCCGTCTCCGCCGTCTCCTTCTTCTTCTTCTTCTTCTTCTCCGTCTTCTTCTTATCCTTCTTCTTCTTCTTCTTCTCCTTCTTCTTCTTCTCCTTCCTCTTCTTCTTCTTCTCCTTCTGCTTCTTCTTTTTTGTGAAAGCCTTACGTGGGGACCCCGTGCTGTGACTCGTTGCCGCCCCCCCTCCCCAAAGAATCCCCCCCCCTCCTTGTGGCCAGGTGGGGAGAGGGGATTCTATGTGGGAGCGGGGGGGTCTTCGGCCTCCCCCCTCTGGGGTCAGGCCCCCCCCCCTTTGTAGGATGCTGTAGGGTTCCGGAGGGATCCTGTGGGCCCCTACAGGGATCCTGTAGGGTTCCGTACTGATCCTATACGGTCCCGCATGTATCGTATAGGGCCCCTGTAAGGATCCTACAGGGTTCCCGTGCGGATTCCAGGAGGGGTTCCGTGGGTTCCTACATGGCCCCTATCGGGATCCTACAGGGCTCCCCAGAGCTCCTATAGGGTTCTGTATGGATCCTTCAGGATTCCGATATGGATCCTATAGGATTCCGTAGGGATCCTACAGGGTTCCGTAGCGATCTTAAGAAGGGCCCTCAATGGGATTTTGTTACAGCTGGTCGGATCCCCATCGGGATCCTGCTGCAGCTGGTCGGATCCAAATAGGGATCCTCTGACATCTGGCAGGACTCCTGTAGAGATCCTGGTGCAGCTGGTGGGATCCCCATAGGGATCCTATTGCAGCTGGTAGGACCCCCATATGTATCCAAGTACAGCTGGAGGGTCCCCATAGGGATCCTATACCAGCTGGTAGTGTCCCCATAGGCTTCCTGCAACAGCTGGTATGATCCCCATAGTGATCCGATTACGGCTGGTAGGATCTATATAGGGATCCTGTTGCAGTAGGATCGTCACCCGGATCCTAATACAGCTGGTAGGATCCCTACAGGGAGCGTGCTACACCTGGCAGGATCCCCTATCGGGATCTTATTACAGCTGGTAGGGTCCACAGGTATCCAAATACAGCTGGAGGGTCCCCATACGGATCCTATCACAGCTGGTCGGATCCCCCATAGGGATGCTACTACAGCTGGTCGGATCGCTATCAGGATCCCTTTACAGCAGGTGGGATCCCTATCGGGATCCTAGTGCATTTGCTAGGATCCCCATAGGTATTTAATTCCAGCTGTGGTGGGATCCCCCGAGAGTGCCTATCACAGCTGTTAGGATCCCTATAGGGATCTTATTAAAGCTGGTCGGATCCCCATAGGGATCCCATCGGATCCCCATCGGCCCGAGCACCATCCATGTACAGCCATGTGTAGGCCCAGTGTAGTGGGAGTCCTGCCACAACCCCACAGGAGGCACCGCAAAGCACACATCCATGTTGGAAGTGTGGGGAGCATGGCATACCGTAGGGGGCTCTTTTTCGGTGCCCCCCCCGAGGGGGACACATCACCTGAACCACGGGTGGGGTGGGGTGGGGGGGGGGGCAGGGTGTTTACCCTTTGGTGAACGAGCCGGGATGGGTTCATAGGGTTTGTAATTCCTTATTGTTTTTCTTCTTCTTTTTTCCCCAACCCTCTCTTCGTCGGGTTCTCGTTTTCAATAGAGCAGTGGGGTCGCCGACTTCTTCTCCCTCTCCTCCCCCCTCCCGTTCTCTTCTTGGCTCTCTCCTCTCGCAACACTCTTGTGGGCTGAGATGTATGATTCTGTCGCCACTTTCGAGGGCTGCTGGGGGAGCCCGCACAGTGGGGCCCCACGCAGACCCAAACGGAACATCGCCTTCCCTGAGGGTCACATGTTCTTGGATGATCTTCTTTGTCCTAGGTCCGGCCGTGCGCCCAGCTTGGGGGCCTTTTTGGTGCTTTCTGGGCCCTTCTTGGCGCTCGCCTGGGCCATCTTGGGGCCATCTTGAGACCTCACACGCCCATCGGAAGCGAAACGGCGTCAACGCATTTGAAGGATGTTGGCCTTTCGTGGGGTTGGGGGGGGGGCTCTGGGAGCACTTAGGGCCGTCTTGTTGCCCTCTTGGGGTCGTTGAACCATCTTCGGCTGTCTATAGCCGTTTTGGGGGCAATCTTGGAGCATTGGCGGCCCTCTTGGACTTGGAACCATCTTGAGCAAGGAACCTCTAACCCTTCGCGCCACCCCCGTCCAGACCCTGGGATGTGGTAGGAGAAGAGATAACCTTTCTCGAAGGGGAAGACGGGGTTTTTGGAAGGGAGAAGGCAAACACCGCTAGCCCACGAGGTGATTGGATTCCCACAGGCGCTGCAGTGCTCACAATTCTTGTGGCGTTCGTGGTCTTTGGCGGTATTCCCAGGCTTTCTCGCGGTTGCAGATCATCAGGGGTCCACCCGTCCCTTCGGGGTTGGATTTCCCTAATTACACGGATTCGTACCAATGCGCGTCCCCTAAGCGCCCGTCCCGCTAAGATACGACAACGGCGGCCACAGTTGAGCGTGATATGTAATGATTTGACGGAGATCTGGCATACGCGCGACCCAGGGTCTGATGCACCTGCAATCCATGTTCGGCGTCGTGCCTACCATCCACTCCATCGGGGTCGCGGGCAAGGCCGTCATGGACACCATTGTGCGACTCCGTAAGGAGCCGCCGAGCGTAAACCACCCTTTCCTCTGTTGCCACCGCGTGCAGCTCCGAGTTCGCGACGTTCGAGCGATTCTTTGCAATTTGCCGCTTTCCCCCCTCCCTCCTAATCTTTCCTCCGCTGCCTCTCCTCCCTCCTCCCTCCAGTCTCTCTTCACCTCCATCTCCCCTCTCCTCCTTCATCCATCCCTCCTCCCTCACTCCTCCTCCTTCTCATTCTTCATTCACCCTCCCTCCACTTCCATTCTCACCCTTCTTCCTCCTCCACCTCCATGTCTCCCCGTCCTGTTCCTCCTTCGCCCCCCTTGTGCGCCCCCTGCTGCTGCTTCTCCTCACTTCTCCCCCACCTCCCCCTTCCCCCTTGGAGCTAAGAAGTGCGGAGGCCGTGCAGGGAGCTGCTGGCTGCCAATCTCCGAGTGTTGTAGCACGATCGCAGAGTTGCTCCATCATCTTTGACACTCAGCACTGGGGTCAGCCCAGAGGTTTGCGTTCCCTCATCGCCCATTCCTCCTCACCCTCTGCTCATTCCTTGCCCCCCTCCCCCCGCTCCCTTCCCCTCCTTCTCGCCCCCTCCTCCTCCCCTCCTCCCCCTCCTTCTCGCGCCATTCTCGCCTCCCCCTTCTGCCCCATCCTACTTGGCCCCTCATTCCCGCCCCCTCTTCACCTCCCCCTCTTCGCCCCCTCCTCCTCGCTTCCTCCTCGTGCTCCTCCATCGTTCGTGGTCCGAGCCCGCCTTGTGTCGCTCGCCTCTACGCCCGCCCCGACCAGCGAGCCCCGCCCCCCCTCGGCGGGGGACGCCGAGTTTACGCCCGCACCGATCCTGGGCCCAGGTTCGGTGCATATATGATCCCGGGTCGAGAGTAAACATTCCCCCCTCAAGCGGGATGGGTCCCAGGGTTCCACAGGCTCTGCCAGATGGAATGGCGGGGCGACGACGACGATGGCGGCGGCGGCGGCGGCCACGGCCACGGCCACGGCCACGGTGATGGCGACGGCTATGGCGACGGCGACGGCGATGGCGACTGCGACGAAGACGACGACGACGATGACGACGACGATGCCGATGATGATGATGATGATGATGATGATGATGATGATGATGATGATGATGATGATGCTGATGATGATGATGATGATGATGCTGATGATGATGATGATGATGATGATGATGGTGATGATGATGCTGGTGATGATGATGCTGATGGTGATGCTGATGCTGATGTTGAGAATGATGAGTAGGAGGATGATGATGATGCCGATGCTGGCGATGCCGATGATGATGCTGATGATTTGCTGATGCTGATGATGCTGCTGCTGGTGATGATGATGCAGACGCTGCTGATGATAATGCTGCTATGCTGCTGATGAGGATGACGATGCGGCTGATGATGATGCTAACGACGATGATTCCGGTGATGCTGACGCTGATGGTGCTGATGATGATGCTGATGCTGCGGATATTGCTGATGCCTCTGATGATGAAGACTATGATGCTGATTATCGTTATGATTACTATGCTGATGATCATGCTGGTGATGCTTGTGCTGATGATGGCGTGTATTATGATGATGACGACGATGATGCTGATGATGCTGCTGGTGATGATGATGCTGATGAGGATAATGATCACGAGGACAAGGCCCATCAGGATCTGTTGCTAATGGTTAGGACGCTGTCGACGACGATGATGCTGCTGATGATGATGATGATGATGCTGATGATGGTGATGATCACGATGCTGATGGCGTTGATGATGAACATGGTGATGTTCACGATGAGCATGATGTTTGTGACACTGCTGATGATGATGCCGAGGATGATGATGATGATGATGCTGCTGTGGATGCTGATGCTAGTGATGCTGATGCTGGATCGCATGATGATAGGGATGATGATTATGATGATTCTGATGATGATAATGATGATGATGATTATGATACTGATGATCTTGATGATGATGTTGGCGATGACGCCGACGACAGTAATGATGGCCCTGCTCCTGCTGATGATGCTGCTGATACTGATTCTGATGATGACGCCGATGATACTCGTGCTGCTGCTGCTGATGATGCTGCTGATGCTGATGATGACGCTGATGATGACGCTGATAATGATAATGATGATGCTGATGATGATTCCGATGCTGATCATGACGATGGTGATGCTGATGATGATGCTAATGATGCTGATGATGCTGATGCTGCTGATGATGACGATGATGATGAGGTTGGTGCTGATGACTACACTGGAGACGCCGACGACGACGATGACGACGGTGGCGACGGCGGCGACGATGACGACGACGATGCTGCTGTTTCTGCTGATGCTGATGGGGATGGTGATGGTGCGTGTGATGTTGATGTTGATGAAGACGATGATGCTGATGATGATCATGCTGCTTACGATGATTACGTCGATGGTGATGATGCTGATGATGCTGATGATGGTGATGATGATAATGCTAATGATGCTGATGCTGATGCTGATGCTGATTATGATGCCAATGATGATGATGATGATGATGCTGATGCTGATGATGATGATGATGATGATGATGCTGATGATGATGATGAGGATGGTGAGGATGATTATGATGATGATGTTGATGCTGATGATGATGCTGCTGATGATGATGCTAATGGTGCTGATGATGATGATGCGGCTGATTATGACGATGATGAAGTTGGCGATGATGACTACAATGGCGACGCCGACGGCCCCGCCGACGACGACGACGATGCTGCTGCTTCTGCTGATGCTGATGGGGATGATGATGGTGCGTGTGATGGTGATGTTGACGGTGACGAGGATGCTGGTGCTGATCATGATGCTGAAGATCATTATGTCCATGGTGATGATGCGGATGATGATGCTGATGATGGTGATGATGCTGATGCTAATGATAATGATGATGCTGATGATGAGGCTGATTACGATGCCAATGATGATGATGATGATGATGCTGATGATGATGATGATGATGATGATGGTGAAACTGATTCTGATGATGATGTTGATGTTAAAGCTGATGGTGATGATGATGACAATGACGATGATGATGATGATGACGATGCTGATGATGATGATGATGATGTTACTGATGATGCTGCTGATATTGATTATAATGATGATGACAATGGTGATGATAATGCTGTCAATTACGATGATGGTGATGATGATGCTGATGGTGAGGATGATGATGCTGCTGATGATGATGATGATGATGATGATGGTGATGTTGATGATACTGACAATGATGATGCTGATTCTGATGATGATGCTGATGATGATGATGATGCTGATGCTGCTGCTGATGATGCTGATGATGATGCTGCTGATGATGATGATGACGATGATGCTAATGAGGATGCTGATGCTGATGATGATGATGATGATGATGATGATGATGATGATGAACATGATGATGATGATGATGATGATGATGATGATGATGATGCTGATGCTGATGATGATGATGATGATGATGATGATGATGATGATGATGCTGATGCTGATGCTGATGCTGATGCTGATGCTGATGCTGATGCTGATGATGATGATGCCAGCTGGAGCTCTCGACCCTTTCCTGGGGGGCTTGCCTCCCATCCTGTTTTTTGTAGCCATTTTACGGCGTCCCAAGGGCCGAAATTGACCCGCATGGAGGAGAGAGAGAGAGAGAGAGAGAGAGAGAGAGAGAGTGAGAGAGAGAGAGAGACAGACAGACAGACACAGACAGACAGACAGACAGACAGACAGACAGACAGACAGACAGACAGACAGACAGACAGACAGACAGACAGACAGACAGACAGACAGACAGACAGACAGACAGACAGACAGACAGACAGACAGACAGACAGGCAGACAGACAGACAGAGAGAGAGAGAGAACAAAATAACGAAGCATCGTATGGCCAGCCGTTTCGAATTGCTCGTGTCGAAGGATGTCTGGGTGGGAGATTGGAACCAAAAGATACGCATACCGCCACTCACCAGCCTCTCCCGGGGTGCGTAATGACAAAGGTTCCCCACGGAATCCAGCCGCGGGAACGAGGCTCCCCCGGAAGGCCTCCAAGAGGCAAAAACGGGGACGGGGAGATGGAGGGCATGCAGCCGTGCTGGTGCTCTCAGAGTTGTTCACTTAGCACCCCACGGCCCCCGCGCCACCCCGTCCGACGGCCCGCTCCGTCACCCCAACGCCGCTCCTCCTCCTCCTCCTCCTTTTCCTCCCCCTCCCCCCCCTCCTCCTTCTCCTCCTCCTTCTCCTCCTCCTCCTCCTCCTCCTCCTCCTCCTCCTCCTCCTCCTCCTCCTCCTCCTCCCCCGAGCACGCTCCCCAGAAAGAACAGCCCGTTCCTACAGGCGTGCTAGATTGGGCCGGCGATGTCGGCGATGCATCGGCGCCGTCGGCGAAGAGAAGAGTTGGCTCCACATCGAGCTGCATCGTCGATGCATCGGCGATGCGGCGCGCTCGTCCGGCCCCACCTACTCGGACCCCACCTGGGAGGCCTAGAATGAAGCACAGCCCGTATCTGCCACCACGGCGATCCACTCCCCCAGAGCCCTTTGACGAACTCGGAGCACGGCACCCCGTCCCAACCCGAGGCGGAGAGCCTGTCGCGGGGGCTCCACCGCCTCGCCCAGGCCGCGCCAGGAACCCGGCAGCCGCGCCGGGCTGCTCGGCGCTGGCCGCCAGCGGTCACGCGGCCAGCGCGAGCGCGGCCTGGAGCATTTCGCCGCGGGCGGCGGCCTCGTCCCGCCCAGGCATGGAAGACGCCGACGCAGCTCTGGATCACCCAGTTTCGCGCCTCCGCGATGCGCGACGCCCGATCATCGTCGCGCCCTCGCGCCGACCCCTTGGGGAAGGGCAAGCTCTGGCCCAGAACGCGGCGCGCGAAGCGCGGTTGGCCTCATGGCCCCGCGGGGGACCTAGGCAACTGCACATCTACATTACAACGATCCTGGGCCCTGGCCAGGGATCGGTGCTCCCGCCCTCGCTGGCC